TTAAGCCCATGGGCTCTGGGGCCAGACAAACTGTATTTATTTCCAGTATCTTACTTAAACTGTCCTTTTGAAGGTCACTGACTATCTCCTTATGGAAATTTACTGTGAAACTTTTTTCTTCATTAGTCTCAGCAGCATATGTCAGGGATGGAGACTTCTTCCTGCTTGATACTCTATTCTCACTTGCTTTTGGATACCGTACTCTTCTGATTCTTCTTCTACCTCCTTAATTGTATCCTCACGATTTCTTTAATAACCATTTCCACTCATCCTCCTATTAAATTTAAGGGTCCTTTCTTTTCTTTTTAAATGCTCTCCCATGGAGAGCTGACCATTTCATGGCACTGCCTATTACCTCTATGCTCCTGCCTCCAAAGCTGATCATCTTTCCCTGGGCTCTGACCTTCACATCTCTGTCAAATGGATGTCTTCATTTGTATTTCCAGTCATCACATTGAATTCAGCGTCATTTGGTTCAGTTTGTCACACTGTCCTTCCTGGAGTCAACTGTAGATTTCTCCCCATTCTCTTGGGCTTCAAACTTGAGTCATCTCTTGATGTGTGCAGTGGAGAAGAAGCTAGTGAGTTTTATAAATTCTTCCTTTGAAATGTCCCGTAATATCCCTCTCATCCCCTTCTTGTTAGCTGTAGCCCAGACCCTCGTTACTTCATGCTTTTCTCTTACTTGAGCCTCTCTGTTCTCCCAATTGTTTTTCTTGGAAGAACATTCTCAGTTCAAAACCCACCACAGCTCATCTTTCCAACAAGTCTAAACTCCTCTGCCTTGCTTCAGTGCTTGTGATAAGTTAAGCCAACTCCACGAACAAACAACTTTCCATAGCTTCCAGATATGAGCCCTGTGCCTTCATCAGCAACTCTTGGGCTCTTGCCGGGCTCATGTGTCCTGTTCACATTGTTTCCCTAATTTAGAATGTTCTTCTCCTTACCCACCTAATTCCTAGCCATCCTTTGAGGCCAGGGCCCATCTTTTCCATGAAACTCCCTCTAACTCTGGCATTCAACACTGTCTCCCATCTCTCAGTACCTATGGCATTCCTAGCCCATTCCTCACTGAAGCTCTCAATTACATGCAGCACGTTTTATTTTTAAGTTGTTTATTCTTCCCCAGTCAGATGGTAATCTCCTACAGGGCAGGAACTTAAGACAGTGTCCGACCATTACCATGGGCTTGCCCTTGTTACGCGAGCTTAGGAAGACTTCTTAGTCTCACTGAAGATGAAGTCTGATAATCACAAGTGTGATCATGTTGTCAACACATAAATGTAAAGATGATCTACATTTTATAAATGTTCACAATGTCCCAAGCTCTTCCATGCATATTTATTCGATTTTTTACATGGCAAAAAGTCTCTTCATTTTTCACATGAGGACCCTGCAGCTTTGGGACATGGAATGACTTGCTTAAAAGCTCACAGGGCTGAAAAGCTAGAACTCTCCACTAAACCACAATGCTTTCCATTCATTTTTGAATTTCCAGTAAGATCTAACTGAACCCGTGTATATGGGGGTAATAGAGACTATGATTCTATCCACCTCATTAGGTTGTAATGTAGAAATGTCTGGAGCAGAGTGTGATGTCTCTTGTGTTCAGTCTCAGTGCTCCCTGCCCAGTGAAATGCACGAGCATCCATTCAGTTCTTCAATTCAGAAACCAGAGTCGTCTTCAACATTGTCCGTTCCCTCACCTTCCCACGTCCATTTCACCATGAAACTCAATTTTATTGCTTCCATTTCTCTTGACTTTCTCTACTTCCCTTCATGTCTCCAGCACCTTAGTCCAAGCTACCAGCACTCACTGTCTCTTCAAGAGTCTCCCTCCAGCTACTCTTATCCTCCCCTATTTGTTTTCCAATTAGAATAAGCTTTTCTGGTGCAAATCTGAGCGTGCCCCCCTATTCCCAAACACTTTAGCAGATTTTTAAGCACCTATATGACATATCCCCAAATCATTTAAAAAAATTTTTTTTAAAGATTTTATTTGAGAGAGAGAGAGAGCACAGAGGGAAAGGAAGAGAGCAGAGAGAGGGAGAAGCAGACTCCCCAGTGAACAGAGAGAGCAGAGAGAGCAGAGGGTACAGAGAGCACGATGATGCGGGGCTTAATCCCAGGACCCTGAGATCATGACCTGAGCCGAAGGCAGACACTTAACCGACTGAGCCATCCTGGGCATATCCCCAAATCTTCAGTATGACCTACGATACTTTTCATGGTCAGACTCCATCTCACTCCACTTTCTCTCTAGGTTGGATCCATTCTTTCAGTATCTCAGATATGCTTGTTACCTCCTGTCATAGGCCATTTTCTTTGTCTGGAACTCTGCTCCCTCTCCTCCTCCCCCAGTTAACTGCTATCCATCCTTTATCTCTTACTTCAATTATGTTTTCCTCCAAAAAGTGTTCCTTGATTTTGTTGATCAAGGCAAATCTCCCTAGAACATATGATCTCTCAGCATCATGCAACTGTCCACCATCAGTTGAATTTATTTACTTTTGCAATTACTGGTGATTTCTGGTTAATATCTCTGTCTCCCACTGCACTCAAAGTTTGCTGAGGCAGGGATAAGTTCAGCCCCTCACACAGACCTGGCACATAATTAAATGTTTCAAAAGTATTTGTTTAATGGATGACTACATGAAGGAATAATCTCTACTGATGACTACCGATCATTTTAGTCTGGGTAATGGTTTGATGTCAGTTTGTGGATAACCAACCTCAGTTGACTCTTACTACCACTGTGCCAACAATACTGGAACCTTGTGGTTCTACGATAGGTGAATGAGTGGACAAATCTACCATCGGCACATTGTCACAGTCACTCCTCACCCGTACTTAGCACATGGCTTTAAGTCCTCAGCATCATGTTTGTTTATGATGAAGAGCTACAAACGGAAATTCTCCATTCTGTCCTAGTGGACAATGTAAGCATAGATGTCTCAATACTTTGCAGAAGTTGAGGCTGTAAGTTCAGCTCAAAACAAAGAAATGCCATACTGAAAAAGTAACCGGAAACTAAGAGCAGATATAGATATGCTAACCTGCGTTTGAGACAAAGTGCTCTGAGCCTGGCACATGGTTCTAATGATCTCTGGCATATGGCAGAGCACAGTAAGCGGTGGGTCTGGCTTGGGGTCCATTCATGTGCATTTCTTTCTGAATTATCCAGAGGGCCTTACTATAAGGCAGCGTCACCTTTAAGACCATTGTATAACGTGGGCTTTGAGGGTAGTGCAATAAACAAACTGCATATTTTCAATATGATAACAAGAAGAAATGGCTGCTCATCAGATTTTTCAAATGTCATTCGAAAGGGTCAAAATTCTTATGGGTATGTGCAAAAGACAATTAAAAGATAGGTTAAAAGATGGAGAATAATTACCTTTCTTGAGTAGAAGACTCAAGGGTATAATGACTTGCTGGAATCAATCTTAGAATGTCATTTATTTGCAAAATGCTACCAACTAGCTGGGTAATAATTCACAGAATTCATAAAGCCATAGAAGACTACTGCCTTAATGGAGTTTTTTTTTTTCTACTTCACTTATTAAGATCGCCTTAATAATTCATGCATGGCAATACCTCTAACGAGCAACAGAATCTCATTTCTCACGTATCTCATTTAAACTGGGCAACTCTGCTGACAGTTCATATAGTCCTCGCACCTCTGAGCCAGCAATTGTAGATAAGCCCTAGGCTGTGGGTGACTGAAACCAGCCCATTTATGATAACCCCAAGAAAAGTTACGTCCTAGATGAACAGCTGAATTGTACAGTCATTTGCTAGGAAGATTTATTCATTCTTCATTCGTGGGGAGGCGAGAGAACAATAACGAGCCCAAACTATAACTCCTGTTCCACATGGTTGAACTGGTTGCTTTGCTTCTCTCTTAATGGCAACAACTGATTGCCATTTTGTTTTTTGGAGGGAAGAGGAATTCCTATCAAGATTTTAAAGCTTCCCTATGATTAGCACCTACTTAGTGAGAAGAGAGAGGGTCGTTATCCACTAGGCAAGGTGAATTCTGTTTTACTCAAATAAAGCATTTACCAGGGAATTTTATGAAGCCACTGTCATTTCTTACAGGCACAATGCATGATGCATTCATCATTGTTTTTCATATAAAAAGAATGCTCCAGGTGATAATTTTCAAGATACTCTTGAAAATAAAATTTCAAAAGCAGACAATAATTCTAATACACATTTATTTGCTATATCTATTTGATATGACACCGCTTACTGTTATATCTACAGTAGTCTGACTGAACAGAAAGCAGACTCCATTTAAATCTGCTCTGTATCCAACGTGCCTGTTTTAAATTTAAGTGAATCAAGTTGGCGATTCTCGCTGATTCAGCCACTGTTTTCTTACAGATGCCATTTTTTCAAAATATTAGTTAAATGGAAGTCAGTATAGGCCTGGCTTTTGGGAAAACACAGAACGATGTCACCACAAAAACTGGTTTCTACTTCGCTTTTTTAAGTGTTTTTTTTTTTAAGAAAATAAATTTTAAAATTATTTAAGTAATCTCTACACCTAACGTGGGGCTCAAACTCACGACCCTGAGATCAAGAGTTGCATGTTCTTCCAACCAAGCCAGCTAGGTGCCCTGCTTTTTTCTTTTCCTTTTTTTTTTTTTTTAAGTAAGCTCTATGCCCAATGTGGGGCTTGAACTCATGATCCCAAGATCTAGAGTCGCATGCTCCACCGACTGAGCCAGCCAGGCACCCCCTATTTTGCTTATTTTTTTTTAAAGTAAACTCTATGCCTAATGTGGGGCTCAAAGTCACAACCCTGATAGCAAGAGTCCCATGCTCTACCAACTGAGCCAGCCAGGTGCCCTTGTTTTGCTTAGTAATTAGTGCCTGGCAATACCATCAACAAGTAACAAAATTGCATGTATCTCATTTAAACTTGTTGTCCTAAAATCCAACATACCAAATAATATCAAACTGGGGTTCAATACATGCAGAAGCATCCATACCTGGTATACGGAGGGAGGGGAAGAGTGATTCTGGTCCATTTGTTGAAAGTGTCTGACACCAGGATCCGCTGCAGGTGAAAGCGGCTACATTCAACATTGGTAGGTAGACAGTCCCTTATCAATGGGTGCCATGATAATCCAAGATCTACCGAATATTCCAGTTCAATAGCTGGAACAGGAAACGTTATTCTGAATAGAAATACATGTATGCAGACCCAGGAACCATAATTACTTATGTTTTCTTATGTTTTAATTCAAATGTCAATTTGATTTTTCCTCTGTATGTTTCCTATTTTGAAATGTTTCTTGGTTAGATTTTTCCTTCTGTACATTACTAGTTACTATTTTTCACTTTCCAGATTAAGATAGTTTTTCTTTTAAGGGGCTAGAATCAAGTGAAACATAAATTTTCCTGAATCACTCTGTTATACTGAGAAACTTTCAGAACAATCATAACAAAACCATTGTTCATACGCACGTAAGCAATAGTAATGGTAGTTATATATATATTTATTGTTTAATCTAATAGTTGCAGTATATTATGAAATTACACAAATTATATATATGTACTATAATAACTATACTATGTCTATTTATTTCATGGTTAACATACAAGTACAAACATAGTAACCATATATTTTAATGATTACTTTTTAAATAGTTTAAAAAAAATTGAGCAACTTCCTCAAAATTTGACCATTCCACAGGGATCCTGACCAACAATGCCAATTTTGCTCTTGCTTTAGGTAAAACTGCTTAGAAATGGCAAAATCCCTTGTGCTCACATACCCTGCTCTGCTGTGTTATAGAATATACCGGGGAATCAGCACGGTATAAGGAGGTAGCTGGAGGCCTTGCAATTTGTGCCAAAGCATACAGTCAGGCTGTGGGTCTAGGAAAAGCTGTTTCTTTCTTTTTTCTGAAAAATCCAACTTATAACCTGAGTTTTATATTCTTTCTTATTTCCTGCTTCAGTCTATAAACTGCTCGAGCCCCTATCTCCCTACTTAAATTGCTTTCTCTAAGGTCATGATTCTCAATCTTGGCTGCACACTGAAATCACCTGGGTACCTTTAGACACCACGAAGGCCAGGGTCCCACCCCCAGGGACTGTGATTTCACTCTTCCGGGGCACAGCCAAGGTGTCGGGAGCTGTGCCGCTTCCCAGGTGATTCTCATGTGCAGCCAGTGTGGGACCACTCACTGCAGCACGGTTCCTAGCAACACTTCCTAGTGAAATACAGTGGTCCAGCTCAGTCTTCACTGTTTTTGTCCTTCCTACAGCGGTAGACATTATTGATTATTCCCTGATTCTTGAAACTTTCTTTTCTTTTGGAGGACATTATTCTGAATCTCCTGTCTTCCTTTCCCTCTGACTCCTGTGCTAACGAGCCCAGCTATGGGCATTCTTCCAAACTCCATTTCTGGCCTTCTATTCTCTGTGTATACTCCTTGGGCTTCAACTATTATCCCTGTGCCCAGATCTGCCAATTTTATGTCTCCAATTAATTTCCTTCATTCAATAAATGTTTACTCAGCCTGGCATTACACCGGATGTTGGCATATTGTGATGCACCGTTCAGACAAAGTTCCTGCTTTCTATCTTGCAAATCCTCCTCACTCAAGGGCATCTCCACTTAAAGCTACTTGCACCCAAACTAAAGAAAAACTCACCCTTTTCCCTCATAAATATACATCTCTTCTTAACTATCAAATTCAATCAAGGGACATACTTTTGCACTGGTTTTCCAGGTTCAGAGTTTAGAAATTATTTTAGAAATTTTACTCTTCTCTTTTTTACTCTCAATGTTCAAACTGGCACCTGGTTTTGAGATTTTTCTGCTGCTTTCCTTTGTGCTTGCATTGTCTCATATCAATTTTATCCATCCCATTCTTCATGCCACACCGGGAGGACTTCATCACCTCCTACAGAGAGGACCACTGAGGCTTCTTTATTGGCATACCCACCTTCATCAGCTCCTGGGCTAATCGCCCTAAAACAGACCATGTCACTCCTCTGCCCTTGTGCCCCTTTATTCATGTCCTTGTCAAGCACAGATTCTTGTATGTGCCTTTTAAGGCTCTTCTTCCTTAGCTGCAAACTCTGCTTATCCACTTTCCTCTTTGATTTTATCATTCAGTTCAACCTTTCTCCAGAGGTTGCACCAGCCGGCAGTAGAAAGTACACAGGACTGGGCTTATGAAAGCAGAGTGTCAGTCCTGGTGCTGCTACAGGCCTACTGGGTCATAACTTACCTCCCTGGGTTCTCATCACCTTCCTATGCTACTGAGGGAACAGGTATCTAGGACCCTAACGTCCTTTTCTATTTTCAAAATCAGAATTCTACTCTCCTCCACTAGATGAAAATATTGCCTATTCAGGCTGGTCTGCTCATGGTTTTTCCTATGGACTAGGAGCATCCCCACCTCTGCTTCTTTGCTTATGCTGCTAGCCTAGCTTGGGATGTCCTTTCTTCTCCATTCACCCTTCAAATCCATTCCAATCATCAATGCCCATTTGAGACTAAGCTTCTTTGTGAAATCTTCCCCAGATCCTGGATTGGCCATCCATTGGTCATCTCATTCTCCTTTGAGCTTTCATTACATTCTGCGTCAATACCAATCTATAGAGCACTTGAATTAGTCACCTATTGGACTCTAACTTTTTAAAAGTATCCCCTCAACTAGACCTATTGAAGACAGATGTGTACCTTATACTTATCCAAGTTCCACTCCTGTTGACTAGTTTAGTGTTGACTGATTGAATCTGAGGTAGCAAGAGCATTTCTGGGATCCTCCCTAAGATATGTCCTTTAAGTTCAAAGTAAAGAAAATATGAAAAATCTGGATTTTGCAAGACCTTGGAAGTAACCAAATTCGTCAGATGTTGGCCCCCTGGAATCTAAAACAGGACAAAGTCCTTGTGAACATTCTCATCTGGATCTCTTAAAGGAAGAATGATATGGGGTGGTTAAAGACCAGAAGACCCCCAGAATCCTGACAGGCTTGCAAGTTACAGTGAAGGGTCCAAGTACGAAGTGATGTCAGTCTTTATATCTCCTAAGATAGGTGTGTCTGTGTGTGTGTGTGTGTGTGTGTGTGCGTGCGAGCAAGGTATATGTAAGTATGAGTGTGTGTGTGCACAATGTAGAGGATGCAAACTGGTCACAATGAGGGTGACCTAGAATATGCTATGACCCAGAATGGCAAAAACTATAAGACAAAATGGGAACAACAAAATTTCATGATTCCTGGAGCGATGGAAAGAAGACAGTAGCTGAACTAATATAAAGTTCTATGAATTAAAACCCATGTACATACAAACTCATGTGTAAATCCTATTGCTGACTCTGGCCTTCTCTATGTGATGAGAGTCCCTAATCCTGCAGATCTGATGGTAAAAGAAAAATCTGAATTTTCAAAAAGAGACAAATTAGGCATTTTTATTTATATGTAAAGAAGTCTTCAAGTACCTATACTTAAAAATAAGCTCACGTTACGAGGCTTTAAAAAAGAGACTTCTAAAACTTAATGTATATACACCATTTCCAAGAACGCGATCCTGGTTTGACTCCTGCGCACTTCTGTTTTACACTCAGACTTGTCAGAGGTGCCACAGATGCCCATTTGCACACGTCTTCCCTCTACCTGGAGAGGGAGTACTTACCATAGCAGGAGTCCGTGACCGAGCAGGAGGCAGCGAAATCAATCTGCAGGAATGAATCCTCGTTCACGGCGACGTCTGTGGTGACCACGTAGCGGGTGCTGGCCTTTTCGATGAAGACCAGGGCGTCGCCAGTGGAGCTGCACACGGGCATCTTGGTGCCTCCCGGGTGGAGCAGCCATTTCCTACTATCCAGGTTTGTGAAATCGTCCTCCAAGACCGTATTACCAGAAATATTTCCTCCGATAAGAATCTGAAAGGCATTTTTTTAAGAAAACGAATTTTCAATATGGTTTCAAAATAGGAGAGAGTTCGGTCTTCTTGTTTGTTTGCGTTTCTCTGTCAGATCACTCAACACGCGCGTCACACGGCGAGCATCCCGTCAGGGGCCTTTCAGGATGCTTTTGTTTGTGTGGTCTGCTTGCCCATCTGGCAAGAAGCGGCAGAAAACAAATTGAAGTACTGACAAAACCATTCACAGCCTTCATGGGCCAAACTGCGCCTTTGGAAACTACATGCGCCCAAGCTGGGAAAGCAAAATTTGGCTTACATGTGATTATTTTCCAAGCGAAATTTCTATTTAAGGACAGTTGTATCCTAAAGCATTTCAGTTCCAATTCTTCGCCTGGATTCTACCGTTTGTTAACAGGTTCTTTGAGTTCTGTTTGACACCCATTTTATTATGGATGAAGATCCTTTAGAACTGTCCGTAAGGACGTTAGGAAGATTTATTTATTTCTTCCCTCAAAGGCTAGGAAAGAGGATTTGGAAGCGAGTGCATGTGGTACCAATGCTAATTTGCACATTTTCCTTTTCAGAGAATTATAACCTTGCATCATGCTTGATAAAGTCCCTCTACCCATATGGCAGATTTCTCTATGTGCAGGACCTGGGCCTTCTGTGGTGTCGTTTGTTTTTATAGGCTCAGGCAATTGAAGGAAAAGAGAACGAAAGGAAGCTACATGGCATATCTAATCTAGCTGTGTGCCCATGGGCAGGTCATTCAATTGTGGGTCTTGGGCTTCCTCGACTGAGCGAGGGGGCTGGCCTGAATGCGATCTAGGCCACATGCAGCTCGAGTGCCAACAATTATAATAGTTAATCTCGAATGGACTGACCTGGTCGATAACCCAGGGACTATAGAAGTGCCCGTTTTCAGATGGCTGCCACCAGCGGAGGCGAGTAGAAGCAGAACGGGCTTTCAAGGGTATCTCCAGGGCGATGTACCTGCCCACGTTGCTGGAGTTGCTGAAAAGAAACTCTTGAAGGAGACTCCAAGACAGGCCGCCATTGAGCGAATACTGGAGAAGCACAGGTTGGCTCCTGGGGTCAGGGACACCTTTACCACATCCCAGTCTCATGAAGAACTGCACAAATCTGACATGAGGAAGATTTATTGTAGACTTTTTTTTTTTTTTTTACTTCAGTGAGAAATTCACACTGTTCACAAAAGACAAGCCCACAGGGTCATGGGTGGGGGAGATGAATGCATGGCTTTAATGAATATGATGATTTAATGAATGTCCAGAGCAATCATTTCAAAGTCCAATTTTCCTTTTTAATGTAAGGAAGTTAATAAAATGTGAAGTCTGGAAAAAAGCAACTCTGTACCCTCTTCATATTTTGTCCCCCTCCACAAAGGTGAGTCTGAAGGAGCTGAGCACTCACTGTACCCTCTGGCCATCCTGTAAGAAAATGGGAGGGCTCCAAAGACTCTCCAAGTGTGGGAGTGTGTGTTGTTATCTATTTAAGATGAATTTATCCTTAGTATCTGAAACTGGAAGAATGTTATGAACGTAGTTTATGCCATTAATTGGCAAAATCATCTATCCTCTGGTTTTACCAGTCGTTTTTCAGTCTCCTCTTACTGGTCTGGGGAGACACATTTAAATGCAGAGGTTGTAGCTCCTCTTTGTGAAAGGCCAGGGATCTTTTGGAAGAGGTGTGTCAAGCCTGGGCCCCTTTTCCATCTTTTGTGCCAGGGGCAGGGAAGCACGAGTATGGGGGTGGTGGTGAGGGTGGGCTGTGCCAGCCTCTGACTATTGCTGGGTTTGGGATGGATGATACTGGCCATCGAGAAGTGTGGCGCACATCCAGGGGCAGCCTTCCCAGCTGGCAGGGAGGTGGCCGGAGTGGCAGCGACCAGCTGGGGTGCCAATGAAAACTAGCTCACATGTTATCTTTGGCAGGCAAGCTGCTGGTGCCTGGTCTGGCCGCCGTGCTAGCTGGTAATGCAGAATAAATTTCATGTGTAACCCAACACATACGCCCAATTATGTATGCATGTTAAACATAGGAAGCATATTGGGACTTATAATAAAAGTTATCAGTTCCATATATAAAACCATGCATTCTTCATGGCTTCCTCCTCCCCCCATCTCCATTAACTAGGCATTCATTTATCTTATAACCCCGAGAAAACTGGGATTTTACATGGAGCATTTTGAGGTCAATGTATGCAAATCCTACACAGCACGCTACTGAGATGAGATAAATAATGGAGCTTTTAACATTGGATTAATGAAAAAAAAAATACATAGTGCCTAGTGGATGTTGATATCTATAAAAACAATAACCACTTACAGAAAAAAAACCTTTTGGCCTACTGTCTACTTGTATTGGGAAATGTTTATAGATTAATTTAGTTATGGTAAATCCACATAAGAATTATTTAGAAAAACCCAATAATTTCTAAATTGGAGAACTCAACCGCCAATGATAAATCTGAAATAAAGAGCATCAAATTAAACCATGTGCATTAAAATAGGATGAAGAGAAATAAAATTTTGCTTTCTATCACTGTAAAATTATCTCACAGAATTGTATTTTTATGAAGCATGGTCAAATTTATAATTCAACAAATGAAAGATTTAGGTGAAAGAGGAGGGTAAATATGTTAAGATCTATTTTAAGATACTCGGGAATGTTTTAAAAAACAAAAACACGACTTTTTTGTTCACTTGCAAAAATAGGTCAGGGTTCCATTTTACACATGTTGAGTTGTCTTCTTTATTTTCCTGGCTAAGTTTTTGGCTTGTCAAATGATCAAGGGATACACATCTTGACAGGACATAATCCTCTGAGCCAGTTTAAATGTTTGTTTCTGAGAGGCTGTGCTCAAATCAGAAAATGAGTGCCTAGAAAGCATGAGCAAATCATTGGAAAGAAATGCTTATAAAGAATAAGGTTACACTTCAAATATTCTTAACTTAAATTGCTAATGGATATAAAATTAATGGTGGGTGATTTGAGGACATATTGTATTTCATTTAAGCTTTCTACTAAGCGTGGCGTAGATAATTTTGTACATGGTCCAAGTGCTCCCAAAAAGTATTCTCTAGAAGGTGGATAAAAAAGATGCAACATTATTTTCTTGAAGTGAAAGTAAGTGAAACATTGTCATTTCCTAGTCACCATCTTGTAAATATCACCGATCTTGATATTAACTTTTGTCTGTTTAGCTATGTTTCATTTCTGATTTAGCTTATTTCACAAAGCTCCCTCGGTTTTAGGATGGAAATTACATGAATTGTGTCTTTACGGAGTCTTAGATAAGAGAGAAGCTCAACATTTCCAACGGAAGGCCTTGCCCTTGAGATGTCTGCTTCGTTCTGATTTGATTACGTTCTGTTACTGTACATCACAATGTGGTTTCTCGACAGCATCTAAAAATGTTTACCTAGCATGTGATAAATCCAGATCTCGTGTCATCAACATGCGCAAGCCATCTTCATTGAAAAAGAGGTTGTTTCCACTGGAAAGGATTCCACACTTCCGAGATGGCTTTCCGCCACTCATTAATAAGAATCTATCAGATTCTAGCTGACCTGTAAAAAGTGGTAAAGGTGATTTACCTATGACCCCAAAGACAGTCATACTCTTTCTTAAAGGAATATGGTTAAGCGCTTTAGGCAGTTTTGAAATACAAAGTCATGAACACTGAAGTCACATATTTTGGGAGAAGAGGTCTCTTCAACAGTTTAGCTTGTCTGAATTGTTTAACCTTGGCTGTATAATTTAAGGGGCCGCATGACAGAAGGGGGGGGCTTTTCCTGAGTAGCTGTGGTCCAGCCAGATGGGTCCTTCCTCTCAACTCTCCTACACTACAAAAAAATGACACTGGCAGGCAGAGAGTGATTCAGGCCAAAAGTAAGAGAGGGTAATGCAGCTTTTCCACTGGCCTCTTCATTGTCTTTGCTACTCTGAGGACCGTGTCAGGCAGGTATTACAAAGTATTTTTAAAAACACAGTTTTAATGGAAGAAGTTACAGTGTAATTTAATATTTTCGATTAAGTAATGTCTTCTCAAAACCAGCTCACAAATCTCTCCAGATGCTTATCTTAGATCTAGGTTTTTTTTTTTTTTTTGATTGTGCTAAAATGCACATAACACAAAATTGATCATTTTCAACATTTTAAAGTGAACAACTCGGTGGCATTTAGTACATTCACATTCATGTTGTGCAACTGTCACCATTACCTAGTTCCAGAACTTTTTCATCACCCACAAGGGAAACCTTATACCCATTAAGCAGTCACTCCCCATCCCCCCCCTCACCCAGTCCCCGGCAACCGCTAACCTGCCTTCTGTCTCTATGGATTTGCCTATTTTGGATGTTTCACAGAATCATATGATATATAGCCTTTTGTGTCTGACTTCTTTCACTTGGCCTAAAGGTTTTCTTTTTTTTTTTTTTTTTAAGATTTTATTTATTTATTTGAGACAGAGAATGAGAGAGACAGAGAGCACATGAGAGGGGGGAGGGTCAGAGG